TATATATAAATGTATGTATATATTCATATATATTTTTTTAACAACTCTATTATTTGTCAAAATAAATTCTTATAAAGAACAATAGCAATTTCCTGTCTCATCACTTTTCTTTTCTATATATGTGTATACAGAAAACAGTCATGGAATCACCAGTTTCGATCGAAAGCGACAATGAGATACAATAAAGATAAAAGCATGATTTGTCGCGAGCGGATAGCCGCGGTAAAAATTCACCACAAGTCTATTCGATCGTGTCACGAATAGTCAAGAGAGAAAAATCAATTTCCAAGCAGTCAATATTAGCCTTATTATCGATCGACGGTCGCTGAACGCGATGGAACTGCCCATCGCATACGGGGCGTTTATTCCTCTGCGAACAGTCTTGCAGACGTCCTGGGCGTTCCGCAGGACGTCTCGTCGTCGGACGCGATCTATTCATGACTCACACAAAGCTGTCATTGCGTACTTACATCGGGAATCTTGGGTATCCTTTCCACGGACGGTTTCAGGAGGAATCCGGTCTGATCCGATCGACGTCGACTCGTAACGTCGACGAGCGACAGGGGGACGCAAACTGTTCGGTTGGACTTTCGAGGAACCACTCTCGCCGGAACTTTGGCGATCTCACGTTCCGGGACTCAGTGCGACCATGCGATGGAATTCGTATCGCGAATTCAAGAGTGGTACCTAGGAAGTCGTGTCGCCCGCCACCGGCGATCCGGAATTAATGGAAACTTCCGCAAAGTAGTTCCGCGTTCCGGTCGTTGTCATGGCAACCAGCGGCGGAGGGATACACGAATCTTCTGTCCTCGTGGGGGAAAAGACTTCTCTTCCCTTCCCCCTCCTCTCCCGGTCGTCGAAATCCATACTGTACGATGATCCACGATGATTCACGATGATCGTCGATCGTGAAAAAAATGGCGGCACCGTGCCGGCAAAGTCCGCTGTCACCTCGGAATTAGAGAATCGTTATGCAATACAACGTCAATGCAACGTGGTGAAATAAGAACTGAAAGGAACGACTATTTTGTGTCACAAAAAATAATGAACGTGCATGATGTCTGAATAAAGAATCTCAGACGTACAATCTCTGTGTTGTACGATATGCTTATAAAAACCTCTGATTTTGAGGAAATTCATAATCTAAGGTAAAATATTTCACAGAAAACATATTTGTAACGGTCTCTTCAATAAATTTAATTTAATATATTGAGAGATTTTTATCAAGCCCTTTTATTTCTTGTATTGTTACTTTTAAGTTAGGAAATCGTGATATTTAAATTTTTGCATATATATTTGAATCGAGACCATAAGTATGTTCAGGAAGATGCTATTAGAACTGTATCATTCTTTCCTTTTATGTTTAATAAATGGTGAGGATAGAATGGCACAGTGTTAATAATGTCTCATCAAATATACTCCAAATGTGGAAATTACAAAAAACGAAAGATTTAATGCCAAAATAATTATAGAAGAATAATAATTGTATTGTAATCGATATTAATCTTCGTACGATCAAGAGAAATTTATTCTTTATACTTTCCACTCTTAAGAGTCGTAATTACAGAGAAAAAGTGTAACATGGACTAAATAGTATAAAAAATTTAGCTAAAAAAATACACTTGTGAAACCACAACATTATTGTGATTAATTTAATTTTAACAATGCTGACGAAAATCTCAACTTAAGAATTCGCGCGTTCAGAGTCCACCATGTCTACATCTGTTATGGTTTGTTTTTTTCTGCTGCAGAATGAGGTTCGACGAAGGACTCTTGTCGCATGTCTTTGCGATCGCATTACACGCTTGAAACTTGACAATTACACGTTTCATGCAGGATTGCACCGAGGCCTTCATTCTGGAGCCAGTACATGTCCAGTATATGTCCGAGTCACCGCTACCATGAACGGAAGAAGAATGATAAGGTTATCTAAGCGTAGGTTCCTCAATTCGTGTTATTATTTATCGCAATAAGTGTTCTTGGATAACGAGACACATATGAACGGATAAGAGCGAGTTCAGACAGAGAGACCGGTAGGCTGCTCCGTTCTTTCCTTCTACGATGACGGAACACGAGCAAAACGCGATGTTCGTCCGGGTGGCGTCGGCGTTCTTTTACGGCCTGTCATCGTTCATGATAACGGTCGTCAACAAAACCATCCTCACATCATACGCCTTCCCGTCCTTCCAAGTGCTGGGGATCGGCCAGATGCTCGCGACGATACTGGTCCTATTCTTCGCCAAGAGGCTGCGCTATGTCGAGTTCCCTAATCTGGAAGTGACGACCTTCACCAAGATATGGCCGTTGCCACTGATATACATCGGCAACATGATATTCGGCCTGGGTGGCACCAAGCAGTTAAGCCTACCAATGTTCACCGCCCTGAGGCGATTCAGTATCCTCATGACAATGATCGCTGAATACTACATCCTCGGTATCAAGGCGCGCCTGTCCATACAGCTGAGTGTTTATACCATGATCCTAGGCGCAGTGGTAGCCGCACTCAACGACCTTGCCTTCAATCTCGAAGGCTATGTCTTTATTCTATTGAATGATTTCTTCACCGCTGCTAATGGTGTATATATGAAGAAAAAGCTAGATTCTAAGGAATTAGGAAAATTTGGACTCATGTACTATAATTCTTTGTTTATGCTTGGCCCAACGGTCCTGATGGCCTGGTGGATGGGCGACATAGATCTGGCATTAGAGTTTCCCAATTGGACAAATCCACTGTTTATTCTGCAGTTTGTATTGTCGTGCATAATGGGTTTTATCCTGTCATACAGTACACTCCTCTGTACACTGTATAACTCCGCGCTGACAACTACTATAATTGGATGCCTGAAAAATATATGTGTGACGTATCTCGGTATGGTGATCGGCGGAGACTATATATTTTCGTTGTTGAACTTTGTAGGATTAAATTTAAGTGTGATAGGTAGCTTAGTATATACTTGGGTAACGTTTCGTAAAAGAGAGAGTCTGCAGCCAAAATACACTTTGTTGACTGAATCTCAAGCCAGTAGGATACAAGCCATATGATTGTAAGTTTTTATACTATAAGAACATGATGCTGTAACTTGTATAATATAAATCGTTGTACAAATTAAGAACAGATCGTTAAGATGTTCCTTTCTTCTGAATGATGATAGGGTGTTGTGTATATGACAAATAACTGTTATGAATATTTCTGTTCCTCGTATCTTAAGATGCTTTTTAGTTTACCCAAGTTAAAAAGCATAAAATAATATCGACAACCTGACTGTAATATGTACCAAAGTAAAATTGTCTTGTTACCAGATAAATATTAATTACAAAAGCAGATCAATTAGAGTTGCCATAAAGTTAAATATATTAATCTATATATGCACTAATCTGTACATATTTGACAGATATTTTAATGGAAATAAATTTTATTTATTAACTGACAACACGGTTTCAAATCTTCTTACTTTCCTCACTCGGTTTCAGGCCGTTTCGCGACCGCCTGCGAGGCGTTTCTGGAGGACTATGCCAAGCACCATGTACCCCTATCCCCCCTGCAGCGTGTGCTTCTCACGATGGGCTCGGCGGCTATATCGTTGGCGAATCCGTATCGAGGTGATATGATAGCGTGTTTGGGAGAAACTACCGGTAGAAATGCTCTCATGCATTGTCATCAACAAATGAAGAATACGAATGAGGGTCAACGTATACTCGCGCAAAAACCACGCATAAATACGTCCACCGTCGACCTTTCTTACCTCAAAGACCTGCCGCTTGGGACTGTAGGCAGAACGTATCGCGATTTTTTGGATGACAATGTAAGATGAATCTTACCATCTGCGCAGAAAAAAATATTAACAGTCAATGGTAGTCTAATTGAAAATAGCTTTGTTAATTCAATGACAGTATTAATAGAAAAAACATGCCATGCTGTTTTAATGAAATATTTCATTAATTAACTTTCATTGAATTAACAAGATTATTTTCAATTAGACTACTGTTGGTAAGTATTATTAATAACATCTTTTTTTTTCCTGGAGAACAATCACAAATGTGAGTTTTGCTGAACGAACTATATAATTGCAGAATGTGTCGCCCGACGATAGACCTACAGTGCAATTTGTCGATGATATCGAGCTGGCCTATGTGATGCAACGATATCGAGAGGTGCACGATATTTTTCATGCTATGCTTCTAATGCCGACGACGATGCTAGGAGAGGTAGCAGTTAAATGGATAGAGGCTTTACAAATGCATTTGCCGATGTGCATAACTGGCGCAATATTTGGAGCTAGTCGATTACGTTCTAGGTAAACCTGTGAGCTGCTTTGTAAGATAGCCTATAATTCATTAATATGTCATTATTATTTTGTATATTATGTAACATTTCAGACAGAGGCAATTATATTTAGATCATTATCTCTTATGGTCTATAAATACCGGATTGAATGCGAAGTTCTTGCTAGGAATATATTTCGAGGAGCGCTGGGAACAGTCCCTCGAGGATTTTCATAAAGAAATGAATATCGTATGTCTTGTATGAATTATGATTTAAGAGTAAAGATTATAATTGCTAATCAACTTATAAAAAATTATTAGTTATTTAATTATTAATAATAATTATTATTATTATGTGAAAAATAAAGTTTTAGTTTCTCTGAAGTTGAAATGCTTTTTGTCAATATTAAATAAATCTAAAGAAATTACTAATTCTTAAACATACACATAGATTATAAATCGGATCTGCGTTTGAAAACAATACGCAGATGATTGATATTACAAATTTGATTTAATTAAACGTTACATCTGTTATAAACATATATAATCTAAAATTGTACGTTTACCATAATCGTTATTATCGTCGTTGTTTCCAATAATCGTAATTGTGATTCTCATCTTTTGCTCTTTTGCTCCTTTTTTCATCGTTTTTTTTAGGTAATATTATTATGCATGGGGTGTACCTTAAAATGGAAGTGCTTTAGAAATCTAATTATAATCATTTTACAACAAAATATTCATATAAAGTTACATCTTGAAACGCATCCTTTCTGAATTACTATTATTTGGCACACAAAAATTGCTTGAATATAATCTTATTCTTAAATTAAGAAAGAATTAATAATGTGATTCGTTAAAGAGCACTCTCGTTCCAAATACATCCTGAATTATTTCCGAATAAAATTGGAAATGACTTAGCTTAAGAGATACATATATATAAGAAAGGATATATATGAAGATTACTTCTATTTAAAAATCTTGCGCCATTGCGAAATTTGATTAAAGATCAAAACGATCTGCCTTCTTCCTAAGATAGACAAGCTGAATCGATCAAGGAGTACATCGTGATATTATTTCATAAAATAAGTACATATAAATAGGTGAGCAAAACTGATTGTCATTCTTCGACGTAATTGAATATTACGCTCATTTATGCTGATTTTTTTACTTATAATATTATTTCGGTTACATGCAACGAATTCTGACGATCATATAAAGTTTTCAGCCGACAAAATGCGTCTAAAACTTTGCGCAAAATCTGCAATAAACTCGAGCAAAATTGCAACAAGTTTCGTTGAAAAGCTTGTTCACATCGTCATTTTACTGCGTTCGGCTATCTAGACAATAGATATAGAAGAAATGGAACGATATTTTTTAACAGTAAAAACGATAATGAGTATCACATATGTATATCATATATATA